AGATAAGGCTCCCATTATCACCACCACTCTTGAGAATTCTACTGGAAGTCTCAGATAATGCAGTAAGACCCAGAAAAAGAATGTCATTAGCAAAAAGCCAATATCCCACCACCTAAAAACAGCCACTGTTACTGTTGTGATAAATTTTCCTTTTCTTTCTTTTTCTTTCCTTTTTCTTAATGTAGTTGAGCTCCTCCTAGATAAGCTCGCCTTTTTCCACTTACCAGTTTTTGCCTCTGGGGCTCCTGGATGCTGTCTTTAATGCTATCTCCCTTTCCTGTAGAAGAATGCCTGCGCCATGCTGAAGGATGGGACCGCAGGCTCACACTTCATGGCCTCCCCGCAGTGCGTGGGCTACAGCCGCAGCACGGCTGCCCCTCTCACCCTGACGATGTGCCTGCCTGACCTGAAGGAAATCAGACGGGCCGTGAAGCTCTGGGTGCAGGCACTGAATGCCCAGTCGGTCTATATCGCCACTGATTCTGAGAGTTATGAGCACGAGATCCAGCAACTCTTCAAAGGGAAGGTATGCACGGGCACGTGGGAGTACAGTGAGAAGGGACCAAAAGAAAGGGCCTGGGTGGCCCCTGTGCCCATGCTAAGAGCTCTCGTGGCACTTTGTCACTTCTTTCTTGAGGCACTTTCTAGACTCTGTGAGTCTTATTTCTTATTGGGAGTTGGGGGCAGTCAGGATCTAACACTGAATCCATGTTGTATTCCCCAGTGTCTGGCCTCATGCTTTGACCTCTCTGGGGGCAACAATCACCAGTGTCCCAGGCAGTGCCTGACATGTGGTAGGCAGCCAGTTTGTTGAAGAAGGATGTAACAAGTGGACTTGGGGAAAGACCCAGTATGGCAGAGATATTAAGAACATGGACTCTGGAGTCAGAGAACTTGAGTTCTACTCATTGTACAGCCTTGTAGAAGTGTCCAACCACTCTATGCATGTGTTTCCACATCTGTAAAGTAACAGTGAATAGTACCTATCCCACAGGGTGATCTCCAAGAGTGGGAATAAAGAAAATGAAACAGTTGGGACCAGCAGTTAGCGTAATGGCTATGTCGCTGGACTCCCATGTAGTCAACTGCGGTTCGAGTCCCAGACCCGGTGGCTTAAATCTCATGCCGGGCGCGTGTGCGTGCGTGCCCAAGATCCCAAGAGGAGAATGGAGGAGAAGGGATTGCGGCATGGCCATCCCCCCTGGGGGGTGATTTCCTGCTTTCTGTCTGTCTGTCTGTCTGTCTCTCTCTCTCTCTCTGTCTGGCAAGCGCACACGCCCTATAGCAAAAACCTCTCAAAAAAAAGAAAAAAGAATAAAAAAGAAAATGAAACAGTAGTGGGACCAGCAGATGGTATAATGGCTATGTCTCTGGACTCCCATGTAGTCAACCGTGGTTCAAGTCCCGGATCTGGTGGCTTAAACTCACACTGGGATCCTGAGAGGAGAATGAAGAGAAGGGATTGCAGCGTGGTCATCTGTCTCTGGGGGGGTTGATTTCTCACTTTCTGTCTGTCTGTCTCTGTCTTTCTAGCAAGTACACATACCCTATAGCAGAAACCTCTCAAAAAAAAAAAATAATAATAGCTACTGTAAAGTAAGTGCGCAGTGTAGCTAGCTGTCATCTGCCTCAGTATTCATCATCAGGTGGCTGATGAATAAAGGAGAGGATCTTTTGTGCTCCGGAGAGGCTAAAGAAGCCGAGAACAGCAGTTCACGAATACGTTACAGAACGTGCCTAATAACTGCACACCGTGTCAGTGACAGCCGGAAACGAGCACGCGTGTATCAGCCAAATGCCTGAGCTAACAGTAAGCACTCGGTACGGATGGTTCAACCAACGAAACCCGCGAGTGCCGTGCGGGTCCCCGCGAGTGCCGTGCGGACCTTAAGAGGGTGCACTTGGCTTTACGTGGAGGAGTTCCCTTTCCCTCTTTTACCCAGACCCAGCCTAGAAGCTCCAGCTTGTTGAGGTGCTGAATCCATTATTCTGGCCTCCTCCCCACCCATTTAACAGATAGGAAATCACAGCTGGGAGACCTCGGAGGTCACTCCAACCCAGCCTCTGCATCTTATAGTTGAGGAAACCAAAGTTTCAAGAACGGATAGAATTTACCCCAGAGGTCCTAGAGCTAATTATAGTGGGCATGACACAGACGGGTAAGTTTCAGGATGTGGGTGGAATTGTTTGGGGGATTTTGGCCATGATTGAACTGGTCTTACTGCTTTGCTACCATCCAGATAACAAGGCAATGATTTTTGTTAAATCAGAAATCTCTGTGGAACAGCAAAGCACTTTCAGCCCCAGTTCTGCCCACACTCCCCCACCCCCCTGCCCTGTACTAAGTAGAAGCATTTGGAGAGTCCCAGGGAATTTTTCGGTGAGTTTTTAGCATTGATGTATGTGTTATGCCTCGAGCCTCGTGCCATTTTCTGTTTCCTGTTCCTGTGCCAGTCTTCTTGGCCTTCCCCTTCTGTCAGCCCCTTCTCCATAGGCTCAGATCCCACCCTTGCTCCTGAACCAAGCCACCTTCTCCCGTAAGCGAAGCCAGCACTTGGTCAGGGATCCTGATAGGTAAGATGAGGTGCTGCCCTCCAGAGCTCACATTCGAGACTGTGCAGAGGAGTATTAGGTTGTTGGGCAAGTCATGACGTGTTTGTCTGTGTTTTTCTAGGCAAAACTGTGACGTGACTTTCCTAACAACCTACTGTAACATGAACCACAGAGAGGTTCGGGAGCTTGTCAGGGGGCGGGCAAGGCTGTGCATTCCCTTGTCCACTCCACAGATGCTTTATTTATTTATTGTCTTTTTTTTTTTTTTTTTTTTTGGGGGGGGTTTTTTCTTCAGGGGCGTGCGCCCCCCCG